TTTTAGGCATTCTAACAGGAGTAAGTTGGTATCTCAGAGTTGCTTTCATTTGCATTTCTCTGATGGCTAAGGATGTTGAGCACTTTCTTAAGTGTGTTTCAGCCTTTTTGGATTCCTCTCTTGAGAATTCTCTCTTCAGTTCTGTACCCATTTTTTTAAATTGGATTATTTGGTGTTTTGGTGACTAGTTTCTCGAGTTCTTTGCATATTTTGGAGATCAGCCCTCTGTCAGATGTGGGGTGAATATGTTTTCCTAGTCTGTGGATTGCCTTTTTGTCTTATTGACTGTGTTCTTTGCCTTACAGAAGCTTCTCAGTTTCAGGAGGTCCTGTTAATTGTCAATCTCAGTCTCTGTGCTACTAGTGATATGTTCAGAATGCGACCTCCTGTACCAATTTGTTCCATGGTACTCCCACTTTGTCTTCTAAGAGATTCAGTGTAGCTGGATTTATGTTGAGGTCTTTGATCCATATGGACTTGAATTTTGTGCATGGCAATAGACATGGGTGTAAGGTGTAAGATTTTTCCGCCCGCCATCTAGTCTTGTCCCGCCGCCGCACCAGCCCCAGTTAACACACAGAGACTCTGTATTTGATATAATGCTATTAGCCCGGTACTAGATTCTTATCGGCTAGCTCTGTCTTAAGTATTAACCCATTTCTGCTGATCTATGTATTTTAATGTGGTCTTTTCTTACTGGGGGGGGAGCCGGCCGGCATTCTGCTTTGTCCAGACTCTCCATGTTCACTTCACTTACTACTTCCTAATCTTTCTTTCCTATTGGCCAACAGTGCTTTATTCATTAACCATTATGAGAAACATATATTCATAATGGCATCTCCCATCACATGGGTCTATTTGTACTCTTTTATACACCAACATCCAGTTATGCCAGCACCATTTGTTAAATATGCTTTTCTCTTTGCATTGTATAATATTACCTGTTTTAACAAAAATTGGGTATTTCTGGGTGTGTGGGTTAATATCAGGAATTTTGATTCAATTCCGTTGATCTATCTGTTTATTTTTGTGCTAACACCAAGCTGTTTCAGGACCATAGCTCTATAGTAAAACTTGAAGTCTGGGATGGTGATGCCTCCTGAAATTCCTTTATTGTATAGTGTTGTTTTGGCTATCCTGGGTCTTTTGTTTTTCCATATGAAGTTGAGTATTATCCTTTCAAGGTCAGTGAAGAATTGTCCTGGGATTTTTGATGGGGATAGCATTGAATCTGTAGATTGCTTTTAGCAAGACTGACATTTTTACTATGTTTATCCTACCTGTCCAAGAGCATGGGAGATTTTTCTCTTTTCTGATATCTTCGTTAATTTCTTTATTTAAAGAAGCAAAGTTCTTGCTATATAAATCTTTCACTTGTTTGGTAAACATTACCCCAAGATATTTTTATGTTGTTTGTGGCTGTTGTAAAGGGTGCTATTTCTCTGATTTCTTTCTCAGCCCCTTTATTGTCTGTATATGGTAGGGCTAATGATTTTTTCTAGTTTATCTTGTATCCTGCCACTTTGCTGAAGGTGTTTATTAACTGTAGGATTTCCCTGGGAGAATTTTTTGAATCACTTATGTAAACTATCATATCATCTGCAAATTGTGAAAGTTTGACTTTTCTCTTTCCAATTTGTAGCCCCTTGATTTCCTTTTGTTGTCTTATTGCTCTAGCTAGAACTTCAAGTACAATATTGAAGAGATTTACAGCCTTATCTTGTTCCTGATTTTAGAGAGTTAATGTTGAGTTTCTCTGCATTCAGTTTGATGTTGGCTGTTGGTTTACTGTATATTGCTCTTTATTATGTTTATGTATGTTCCTGTTATCCTTGATCTCTCCAAGACCTTTATCATGAAAAGTGTTGGATTTTGTTGAAGGATTTTTCAGCATCTAGTGTGAAGATCATATTATGTTTTTTTTTTCAGTTTGTTTATATGGTGGATCACACTGATAGATTTTCATATGTTGAACCATCCCCGTATCCCTAGGATGAAGCCTACTTGGTCATGTTGTATGATTTCTCTGATGTGTTCTTGGATTCGATTTGCCAGTATTTTATTGAGTATTTTTGCATCAATGTTCATGAGGGATATTTGTCTGTAGTTCTCTTTCTTAGTTTTGTCTTTGTGTGGCATGGGTAATAAGGTAATTGTAGCCTTGTAAAAAGAGTTTCTTTCTGCTTCTATTGTGCAGAACAATTTGAGGAGTATTGGTATTAGCTCTTCCTTAAATTTCTGGTTGAATTCTACACTGAAGCCATCAGGCCAGGGGCTTTTATTTATTTATTTTTTTGGTTGGGGGGGCTTTTGATGACTGCTTCTGTTTCATTAGGGGTTATAGGTCTATGTAAATTAAATTTCTCATCTGTACTTGATTTAATTTTGGTGAATGATACTTTTCCAGAAATTTGTCCATTTCCGTAAATGTTCGAATTTTGTGGAGTACAGTTTTACAAAGTATGACCTGAAGAGTCTCTGGATTTCCTCAGTGTCCGTTGTTATGCCCCCCTTTTCATTTCTGGTTTTGCTAATTTGCATGTTCTCTCTCTCTCTCTCTCTGCTTTTTATTTATTTATTTACTTTAGTTTGGATAAGGGTTTGTCTATCCTGTTAATTTTCTGGAAGAACCAACTCTTTGTTACATTGATTCTTGGTATTGTTTTTCCTAGTTTCTACTTTATTGCTTTTAGCCCTCAAATTGATTCTCTCCTGGTACCTACTCCTCCACGGTGATTTTCTTTCTTTTTGTTCTAGAGCTTTCAGTTATGCTGTTAATTCTTTTGTGAGTATCCTCCATTTTCTTCATATGCGCACTTAGTGCAATGAACTTTCCTTGTAGCACTGCTTTCAAAGTGTCCCATAAGTTTGTGTATGTTGTGTCTTCATTCTTGTTGAATTTTAGGATTAAAGGATTTTCTCATATCATCTTTGAGGGCCTCTATCATTTTTATGAAGTTATTTTTTAAGTTGTTCTCTTCTGCTTCATCTGCTTTGGGGTGTTCATGTCTAGTTGGTGTAGAGTCCCTAGATTCTGGTGGTGTTATGCTTTTCTTCCTATTGTTGGGTGTTTTCTTGTATTGCCATCTTCCCATCACTTCTTCCAGTGAGTGCAGGTGGAATCTCTTTCTCCCTACCCTGTTCTTCTGGTGGGTGTAGGTGGGTCAGGAGTTCAATGTCTGCAGTTCTGGATGATCCAATCTCTCTTGGAGGTCTCTCCTCCAGCAGAGGGCAGGTGATATGTTCCAAAGATCAGGTGAGTGTCCTGAAGGTGGTCCTGCATGAATAGGCGGGTTCAGGGTGCTCAGAGCAGACCCACAAAGTTCCACAGAGGTGGAGGGATTGTTGTACCTGCACTCTGGCCCAATGCTCACCCGGAGCAGTGGGCCCAGGATCACAAAGTGTGAGGGGCTTTCTTTTCTTTTCTAGGCGTTTTGTGGTACTAACTTGCTCTAAAACATTTGCAGGAACACTTACTTTAAATTTGTAGCTACTGTTAGGTTTGTGATTATTCATTTGCTATGTGAAAAGTCTCAACTTCTCATTGTTTCTCTACAGATAAATAGACACTTAGGATTTAGTAGCAGACAACAGATAAGTGCTTAATATCCTCAAAGGCTTTCCTGATTTATAGTTTTAAATCTGAAATGCAGACAGGATCACATCAGCGTTCAGGTCTGGTTCTTTTCATACTGGTCTTAGCAAGACTTGGCATTCCAGTCATTACTCTCATTCATGATTTCCGTATTTTCCAAGTTGATAACTTCCCCCTGCCAGGACTGAGAGAGGCCATGGTTCATGTTTCTGGCTTGCAAGTTTCTGCGCCATAGAAGACCAGTTTTAGGGACCCACACTGGACAGTGTGCAGAGCGAGAGAGTTAGGGGCACTCAGTTCTAAATGAGATGTCTTTATCAAATCTGTGCCCTCAAGGCTCAGGGGTCTATGTGAAAGAGGAAGGGGAAGACTGGGAGAGGCAGAGGTGATGGCTGACCCAAGGAAACTTCCAGACACAAGACGATGTGCGTGGGAACTCACAGAGACTATGCAGCACACACAAGGCCTGTGCAGGTCCAAGCCAGTTGGGATCCCAGCACTGTGAGCGGGAAGTGGACCAGGCTCTCATCCCTAATGGAGACCATCTGCAACTGACAGGCTTTCGGAAAGGAGAAATCAGTTTTCCCCAGTGGACTCTCATTCAGTTTAGCAACGGTGCTACAGGGCAGGCCTCATGCCCAGGTGTAGATAACCAACCAAAACAAACCTGATGGTAATTTGGCAGATTCTCTTGTCTCACTTTGCTTTGCTGGAGTATTTTTTTGTCTTACTGATTTTTTCTTGTTCATTTTTACTTCTATATTTGTGTTTTTGTGAGAGATTTTGAGTGTTTGTTTCTTGCTTCTTTGTTGGGTTTGTTTGTTTGTATGTTTGTTAGTTTTTGGTTTTCAAGACAAGGTTTCTCTGTAGCTTTTGGAGGATGTCCTGGATCTTGAAATCAGAGATCCACCTGCTTATGCTTTTTGGGGGCTGGGATTAAAGGTGTGTGTCATCAATCAATAAATAAATAAATAAATAAAATTGAGGACCAGTTTTATGACAGAAGAAGTTTGGGTTCCCATTTTTGTTTCTTTCTGACATAGCTCCAGACATTGATTGTCTATACTGGGGCCACCAGCTACTCTCACATCAGTACAGGACAGCCCAAATAAATACAAACTGGATTTAAATTAAAGTTCCAGAATCACTGGTTTGGATACATTACTTTCTGTCCTCAATCCTGTTTCCCCTCTCTATGAACCAGCTCAGTTGTTATCACAGAGCAGTCTGGTCCTGGGAATCAAAACGTACACAGCATGTGCTAATGTCTTTTTATTTTTTATTTTTTTGCTCGAGGAACACGAGTGGAGATTTCCTAAGCAAGGATTCCAGTGTGCCAACCTGGGAGACTCCCATCACAGGACCAAATGGAAGCATCTACAGCGATTACAACTATTGTGGCATCATGTCTCAAGTCATGTTTTCATTTTGCCTCATCCTTGTTGTGGTGGGAATGATGGCAAACGCCACGGTTCTGTGGTTTCTGGGCTTCCGCTTGCACAGGAACGCCTTCTCTGTCTACATCCTCAACCTGGCCGTGGCTGACTTCCTCTTCCTCTGCTTTCAGTTTGTCTTTTGCCTTCTTACTTTCATTGACATCTTCTACACCATTTCCATCTACATCCCTCTGTTTTCTGTTGCTGTGTCGATATTTGCTTATTTCTGTGGGATGAACATTCTCAGCGTCATCAGCATCGAGCGCTGCCTGTCTGTCATGTGGCCCATCTGGTATCGCTGCCAACGCCCCAAGCACACGTCAGCTGTCATGTGTGCGTTCATTTGGGCTCTGTCTCTGCTGCTGACTCTCCTGGATGGGAAGACATGTGGCGTGCCATTAAGTAGCTCTGACATGTTTTGGTGTCGGATATTCGATTTCGCCATGACTGTATGGTCAGCGGCTTTAGTCGTGGTTCTCTGTGGGTCCAACCTCACCCTGCTGGTGAGGGTCTTCTGTGGCTCACGCAGGGTTTCTGTGACCAGGCTGTATGTGATCATCGTACTCACAGTGCTGTTCTTCCTGCTCTTTGGTCTTCCCTTGGGGATCTACTGTCTCTTCCACAAATGGATTGGGGACTTACATTATGTTCAAATTTGCGATTTTTATTTTGTGACGCTATTCCTATCCTGTGTTAACAGCTGTGCCAACCCCATCATTTACTTCTTTGTTGGCTCCATCAGACACCGTAGGCCCCAGCAGAAGACTCTGAAGCTGTGTCTGCAGCGAGCCCTGCAGGACACCGCTGAGGAGGAGGAAAGTGGAGAGAGAGGTTCTTTGGGAGAGCCTGGAGAACTGTAAACGGACTAGGTCAGCAGCCGGGGGATGCGCTGATCAAGTCGAGAGAGACAGTTTTCCTTGTGTGTGGCCTATTTTCTTTCACACTATCTTTGAGTCTGTCACCTGGCCGCAGCCAGTTAAAACAATCATTTTTGTGAATGTTGAGTGACACAAAATGTTTTAAACCAATACTGACTGTAGCATTTCTGGAGCTGTCTTACTCGGGGCGTGGTCATCTCCTTTTGATGGTGCTCCTTGTAAGTGCTCTGAGGTCAAGGACTGCTCCTACTGTTCCAAACCCTCCTTCACCAGAAGATTAAAGAGAAAAGTGCAGGAAAGGGTCGAATGTCTTTAGTCATGAAATTTATAGTGGGTAAATGAATTTTATAGTTTACAAAACTTCCTTTTAAAAACCGTTTTTCCTTTAGGGTTTCAAGAATTAAATAGATATAACTTATAACCCCGGATCTTTTAGTTTATACAGGCGAGGAATTTATGCAAGTATAGCCTTTCTTACAAATTGCTTAGTAAGCAGATATATACTCTCAAGAGATATCGGTATTAAATCTCTTATCACCCAGTGGAGTTCTTGCTTTTACTATGTTCTGCCATTCTCTGAATCAAAAGATTCTGGTCAGTTTTTATAATGAGGTCCATCATCATCCGTGCACATTGGAAGGCAGAGGGAGGCTGCCCTCTGTGGTCGCCTTCACGATGCCTTGCTTGCCATTGCATAGTCATTTGTCTCTTTCCCTAATCCCTTAAAGACACATTTCCAGAGAGGTCCTTTAGACTACGTTTCCTTGAAATCAAAGCTGCTTCACATTTATGCTATTCCCAGAAGCCCATAACATTTACCACGTAATACTCTGCTTATCTGAGTAACATTTTCTATAAAATAGTATTTCAATTTTAAAGCTGACGTATGGGACACTGTCAAATGAAGAAGAATTGAGAGAGCATAATATGAACAGATCAAAGGGGACAAATCAACAAAATGTCTTGTGCGTGTGAGGCTACAGGATGTAGAAGCAATCAAGGCAAAGAACTATCTCTTGCCTCTCTGCATTTACATTTCCTCTTCAGTCATAACTCAGCCTCTGAGGTCAGTACTGTCCACGTTTCTGTTCTGAACTAAGATTTAGAGCGCAATTTGGAAGACTGTAACATGAAGATTGGTATACGCATGGTGGAATGGTTTCACTGGTGGAGATACGTTGCTGAGGGAATACACTCTAAGCCCATTTGATTCCCACCCCGTCTGTCTTTTCCTTGTGGGTCACATGTATGCAGCCAGCTACTGCTTCAGTGCTGCACCTGCCTGTTTGCCGGCCTTGTCCCGTGCTCTCTGACAGGTGGCCTCAAACCCTCTAGAACGACAGGTCCCCAAATCAAATGTTTTCTATGGACTGGCCTTGTTCACGGTGTCTCATCAGAGCAACTGAAAATGAACTAAGACAGCCATTTCATCTTACATTCCTGTTACTCAATATCATTGACCTATGCGTCTCCTTTTCTCCCCGTTACCATGAGACTTGTTGACTGTCATCATATTGTCATTATGTGTATATTGACTCTTTAATATACACTCCACTTGTAACTTACGTGAAATGTTTCTCTTTACATTCATCTTGTATAACATAGCACAATGCACATTAAATTACCCATGGTACAGCAAATGGCAAGGTCTCCTTGTTCTTAACATTTGAGTGATCATATTCTGTATGTGACTACTGCAGTGTCATGGTCAGCCCCTCCGCTGTTCCTTGTCTGGGTCACTCCTCTGCCTTGAGTATTGTGAATAATTATATAATAAACATGTAATCCATACCTTTTGTGTAGAATGATGTTTATGTATGTATGCATCACTTAATTTTCCAAGCAAAATAACTTCATTTTCAAATAGGCATCTGGTGACAGAATATTTAGAACTTTATATCATTTTATTTTGAGGTTACCATGGTTTCCCCTTTATTGCCTCTCTCCAAATCCTCCCATATCTCCCTTCTTTCTTTGTTTCGCATTAATGGTCTGTTTTTATCAGTAATTGTTGTTACATTCGTACACATACATTTACTCCTAAATATAACGCGCCTAGTCTGTATGTTATTTTGACAGTTGACAGTTTTCTATTGGGTAACCAGCTGGTGTTCTATTTCTAGGGGAAAATTATTTCTCCCATTTTAAGGCCTTGCGGTCTTAACCCCATCCAGTTTGGCATTCCGTTGTTGCTGTCCTTGTCCAACTCATGTTCAGACAATCATGCTGGTGAGACTGTGTGGGTATAGCTTTTGATATTAACCAGGGACGCAATCTCACAGCAAATTTCTAGATCCTCCTGTTTTAAAATCTTTCTGCCACCTGCCTCGCCTCTTCTACAATGATACCAATGCCTTAGGTGCACAAGTTGCATGCATCTATTAGGACCGGCCTCCCCAACTGCATTTTGACTGGTTGTGATCTTGTGTATTGGTTTCTGTCTGTTGAATAGAGAAATCTCTTTGATGAAGGGTGAGGACTATACTCATCAGTGGGTATAAGATAAAAATCTGGTTTAGTTCTCAGGGAAGGGGCATTCAGGTCAGTTACCCCTCAGGGGCTCTGTGTCTAAATTGCATGGTGTCCTCAGCAATAGGGTCTTAACTTCCACCTCTGGGAGGGAAACCAAGAGAAATACCCTGTATGTTTTAGGGGTCTCTTAGTTGACTCTGTTGGTATTTGTTGTTAAATACAGGTCTCTATATTTAGTTTCTGTATGAATATGCATATTCATATATGTAGATTATTATTAAAAAGCTCACAGCTCTTACATGTTTGGGACCTTTCACTCTTGTATTTATGGGTATTGAGCACAGGTTCTCATGCACAATGAGCTCCATTCCCACCCTTATCAAATATTTCGAATTTTTTGTATTCCAAATCTTTTTCTTTGCTTTGGTTCAATTGAATATTTATATCACTACATTTCATTATCTGTACTGGCATGGAATTCTTCATAATATTTATTTATGGGCTGGTTCAGGGGCAGAGACTTTCATATCCATCTTGATGACCAAAGCTTTACTTCTAAATTCCACAGGGTAACAGTGGAGAATTAACTCCTGAATTAACCACAATATCTATGTGGTTACAGTAACAAAAATACAGAAACATGCACAATATGAAACTTTCAAAACTTTAAACATTCATTTATTTTCTATCCTAGGATTTATTATGTGTATTTTAAGTGAATAAATTTAGAAGTAAAGCAGTATTTTGGCTCAGTATGATTCTGAGCAACTATTTCCTCATAGTCACATAAAGATACACGGCTATTATCAACAGCTAAGGAATTTGGTGAAAAAGGAAAGTCTCATTGTGGTATGATTATAAAAAAGGGCATAGCAATGGGGATGTAAAGGAAAGAGTTGATTGTAATACTTCTGTCTTGTAACTCTAGCCAGCACATTGTGGACAGGGATGCTACAAGCTTAGGGAACTGACAGAAAATTACGTCTAGGTCAGCATGTCTGCCTGCTGAAGCTCTGTATTGGGTAGAGACCCCCTTGACCACCTCCAAATCTTTGTTCACAGTTGAGCCACTAGAACAAGATTTGTAAAAGGAAAGCATCTTGCTTTAATACCCATCCTCCAGTGGTGAGTGGCCAATTGAAGGAGGAGCAAGACCTAACCTGTTGTGCGGAAGGCAAGGAGACTCATAGAGCTTTTTATTTTTCTTTATTCTTTCTTTTTTTTTTTGAGCTGGGCACCAAGCCTTTCAGAAAAAGATCTAGCTCTAGTAGAAAAAGAAGTTCCAAACATGAATTGTATTGAAGTCTCTGGTTGCACAATGTGTGGTAAGCCCTAATGTACTGGAGTTAAGGCACATGAAGAAACAGATCTCTTTGTCCTGGAATGTTGTACCTTGATGGTAAAATTTTATATTTGGGAGATCTGTCATGTAGACCACAGGGTTACATAAAAGCACAGTCCAGATAATAACTACTTGAGCCAGGGCTCATTGTCACATGCTAGGGTCACAAGTCCTTCTCAACAGTGTACGTCACATGCTTTCATACTATTTCAGGACTGTGCTTATTTTGATGGGCTGTGAGTTCATTGTATGAGAAGCTTGGTGTCATTCTGGGCCTTCAATATGATATCAGAACCAAAGCTAGTCAATAATCAGAAATTATTCTCATATCACTAACATCAACATCTATGACTACAGTCCTGTGATGAGCCATATATGTGAGACTATCCTGGTGCCCAAAGGATGCTTATGTGTATGGGTAATTAAATAGCATACCAACGCCTTCTTGACACAGTAAAAAGACATATTAAATGGGGAATTTCTAACAAATGCCTAAAGAAAAAAGTCAAGAATATTTCAAGGAAAAATATAGGATAACAAGTTGGGGCAGTGGGTAAAATTACAGGTCTTGAGAATGGAGAAGAGTATGATAAAATGCTGCCCATTCTCCATGCATGGCTGTTCAAAAACATGAAAATGCAGCAGCTGTGCATACCTCACAAGACCAAGCCAGGTAAAAACTCTGATTGGTCTCCAGTCACTGTCAGTAGCATAGCAAACTGGGGCAGCCGCTATGGAAATGAGTGTTGAGAATTCTCGAACACCTGGAAATGGTCAACTGTGTGACCCAGCTACCGTACTCCTTGACACGTGCCCATATTACTTGACATCCTACTCCACAGATATTTTCCCAGCCACGCTCACTGACACTCTATTAACAATCATTAGGAAATGGAAGTGACCTAAATGTCCCTCAGCTGGTGAATGGATAAGGCACAGGTGGACAGTGCTCAACTATTAAGAAAATGAAATTTACAGGCAAATGGATGACACCTGGGGACTATTACAGCGTAAAATAACACAGATCAAGAAAGTTAAACATGTGGTGGAACTGCCCCACCACACGGGTAACAGGAACACACCTAAACATAATAAAAGCAATATACAGTAAATCAACAGCCAACATCAAACTGAATGGAGAGACGTTTAAGACGATTTCTCTAAAATC